ACAGGAAGTTAGTTTCTAATAGGCGTTGCATCTTACCGGTTTATCAATTAACGATAACCTCCGCGAAAATGACTTAAGGATACGCGAAAGAAAGAAAGAGGCGAGAAGAAAATGTTCTCAACATCGTTGCTTCATTTTATTTTACACTTTTTCCCGTACAATCGAGTAACAATAATTAAACAACGCTCTATGTACAAAGATTTCGTTACATTGCAGCACGCTGATCACTTGGTAAAATACGCTTCGCAACTTTGGTCCTTTCTCTAGCACCTTTTAGCGGAGCGCGTGTATCCAGTGAAAACCGCCGATCGTACACGTTAAGTTCCTCTCTCTCTCTCTCTCTCTTGATGGAGAAAGAAAGGCTGACATTTGTTTCACAACAAAAATTGGTATTTAACCGCTTAAAGAATGTTCCGACGAAACGGCGGGCAACACCGTGGCCATTGTTTTCTGCCATGTTGCATTCGTTGATTTGAACAGCGATGAGATCGCGGTTCGTGAATAAAATTGCAGCATTTGCTGCAATTTGCACAAATCTAGAAATCACGCAGATTTTTCGGGCTACTCTGAGCAAAATTGGCCTTTTTGTAATAAATAAAATCTTTTCTAACCGTGGGCAAAGATATTTTCTGAGACTTCTTAGGTCTAATTTTTTTTTTTACTGTTCTAGGTTTTAAAGAAATTTGAAAAAATTCTGGGATACTTGTCAAAGCCTCTGCTACATTACACAATTGTTCGTTAAGTCAAGTGTTTCAGGATTTTCCCTAGAGATAAACATTCCTTTCGGAGAAATGCAAGAGTGAAATTTGGCTCGGGTCATCGGTGACCCAGGTTACCATCAGAGGGTTAATCAGTTTTCTCTTTCAATATACCAAACAATATACGTAAATTTCAGATTTGTGCGACTTCAGTTTTAACGTGCTGCAATTTTTTTTTGGCGAGTAGCGTAACTCGAATCGCTTCGAATACGTACAGTTACTCCCAAAAAGAAATTTGGACACTATGTGAGCCGCTCGTTTGCCAAATCGGTTAGGTTTAGAGGCTGAAATATTATAATTAAATTTTATGTAGAATATTTTTTCCATAAATTCCGGCCAAATTTGATACTAAATTTATCTAATTCAACATTTCAAACGTATCTTTAATCCTTTGCACTCGCTCTATTGGCGCCAATACGGTGACATTCGTAATATACAGGATGTGACTGATGATTTAAGCAAGAAAATGGTAATTCCATATGAAAAACTGAATCGAATGAAACTTATAATCTCATGATAAGTATCGGTAATACATTTATTAACGATTTCCTTAATTGAAATTTGCATTGCTAAACGAATTGTTGAAAGTAACGTCTAATTAACGCATACAAATCGTTGCTACTTGAATCGGAGAGTGATGGATTTCCATACGTCTTGAAAAAGTGTTGGAAGTTTGAAAAAAGATTGCCCATCGCTGGCTTAGAGATTTCTCAGTTGCAGGATTTCGGCTGATTTGGAAACTGCTTTTCTTTTTAATCGTTAATCTTAAGATTTCCCTGCAAAGTATGTCGAATTGCGTGTAATATATTCGTGTAACCATTCTTGGGCTACTGGGTTTTGTGGAAAGTACCTGACGGTTCCAGTTCGACGATCGTTTGTAATCGAAACTGTAATTGAACAAAGAAACTTTTCTATGGGAATATGAAGTTTTGGGAATTTTTTTTAATTTAGCGGTGTGTGTTTTGGGTGGATTTGGTATTCTGTAAATGTTTTTCGAAGAATAGTAATTATATTAGAGAAGTTCTGTTGTGTTCTGATATAATAAATAAACAAAAAAAAAATGTTTGATAGATTGATCATTTAATCGAGGATTATTTTGGTGGATCTGACTTAAGGTTTTCTGTTTTCTAAATTTTCTGTGACATTTTTGTAGCGCCTTGTTGAAACAAGTTCAGTAAAATTGATCACTGTAAAATTTCTTATTACTGCTCGTAATTTACATAGATAACATTTTCATACAATACACATAGTAATAGAAAAAACGATTTTCTCTCAGAATTAAGGGAAACATCAACTGCAACGAAATTAATTAATTAATAAGCAGTCACTTTCGCATGAGATAATTAATCCTTTCTTGCACCTCTTGGATACTTTATAAATCGTACAAATACGACGAAAACATTCACATTCGCACCACTGATAATTTGCAAATTTTTTTGCAACCGATGAATGAAAGATAATTTCGCGAATGAAAGCAGCTTGTTGCATCACTGATATGAAGTAATATCCAAGAATAAACAGAAACAGATTGGGAATGTATAAATTTTTAAATAATTCGAAGAAATTAACGAACGAATAATCAACGCAATTATGTAATGAAAATTTCTTAGAATTCTACGCACGGAACAACGTGAAACATTAATTGAAATGAAAAAAAAAAAAGAAGAAAAAATAGGAAGGTCAACAGACATTGTCAGACTATAATCTTCCAATGGTAAAAAGTAGCGTGTTCAGCACATGGTCACAGTTTGTCGAACAAGGAAATTGACAAACTTGAGGATCAACCTGTTGCGTCGATGAAACACGTGCTTCCAAATAACGTTTTCTGTGGAAAAAGAAACATCGTTTAAATTAATTCTTGCCAATCTGGTCGCGGGACTGGTCAATGGAAATAAATTAATTAGCATATCACGCACTGGGCCAGCTTTGTGTGAATACACCCCAAAGGCCGTTTAAAATATTGTGTAACACTGTTCGTGACTTTTATTATTGTATTTTTAGTGGTTTTAATGGAGATGAATACCATGACCCGATCCGAAGTCATCGAACGAGTTGTACGAGATAGGAAATACAGTTACTGCCAAAAATATTCGGACACTGGTGAATAGGGAAATTGGAAAATTAGAGAATCTGAAAATTGGGAAATGGAGACATTCGGGAATTGGAAAATTTGGAAATTGAGAAATAGAGAAATTCAGGAATTGGAAAGTTGAAATCTGAAAATTGGGAATTCAGAAAATAGGGAAATGGGGAAATAGAGAAATTCAGGATTTGGAAATCGAGAAATCGAGAAATTCAGGAACTAGAAAATTAAAATCTGAAAATTGGGAAATTGGAAAATTTAGACATCGAGAAATAGAGAGAGTCGGGGCTAGGCAAATTAGAAAATTGAGAATTCGGAAAGTATGGAAATTCAGAGATTGGTAAATTAGAAAATCTGAATGTGGGAAATTGGGAAAATAAGGAAATTAAAAAATTTGAAAATCGGCAAATAGAGGAACTAGAAAATTAGGTAATCTGAAAATAAGATAATTTAGAAATCAGGAAATAGAGAAATTCAAGAATTGGAAAATCGACTAATTAGAAACTCGTACAATTTTATGAATATCTTTGCATGCGTCGGGTTCAACGATTATTTTATTCACATCCGAATAATTTTGAAAGTTACTCTGTCTAACGTAATGAAATCAAAAATGAGAAAACGAAACTATTTTATATTCGTGTGAACTTGTTTCATGATCTACGACCTATTGTTACAAACTATGATCGCTTTTGTGATACATTGCACGGTTATTTCGTATTATATTCATTGCTAATCTTCAAATCAACATGCTCTTATCGTGAGAATAAACTAACATGATTCAAATGACTGTGTGACAGAATATGTTTATTATTAGTCATCGAGGATCTAATAAGTCCATTACGTTAAATCAATACATGGTAAATGCATGTTAAGAATGTTCTTGAAACAAGAATTGACAATTACATACTTAGAAATTGTTACTTTTATTTCTTCTACTCTGAATTTGATTCTGAAGATTTATTTGTGATTCAAAAGTGTATCGAATATTTTAACTATGTCCTACCATTCACCTGGCCTAGTACGTAAAATACTGAAATTAATGTATGTGTAAGATCAATTGACAGCTCAAAGCCATTTCCTTTATTGTGAAACACAGGTTGCGAATAACCAACCAACTTACAATGTTACAACATGCTTGAATTTTTGTTTGGATATGTGCAAAGTAGAGAAACATTACATCTATGCACTTTCTTCTTTATTCAAACGTGTGATAAATTATCCAAAAGAATCATATATTTTTTTAGGGTAAGAGTTAGAAAGCAAGTTAGATCTTTGTCTTCTTTCTTGGAAACTGATTAAATGAAGTTGCTTATTGGAGTAAAGAACATTGTGAATAAATAAATAAGTGAATACTTGTGAGGAGTAAGTACTGCACGTCTGTAAATGTGTTCCTTCTGTTTTTAAAATGAAAATTTGAATAGAGAAACAAAAATAAAAAATAAAGTAAGGGCTAGAATGAAGGTGTTTAAATTAATTCGGTGTCTGTTAAAAAAAAATGCACATTTTAATTTACCGGGAATAGGTAAATTGGAAAATTGAGAGATTCAGAATTCCATAAATGAAAAAATTAGAAAATCTGAAAGCTGGGAATTCGGAAAATAGGGAAACTGAAAAATTTGGAAATCGGAGTATTAGATTCAAAGCTAGACAAATTAGAAAATCGGAAAATAGGGAAATTTGAAAATTTTGAAATCAGGAAATGAGAGATTCAGGATTCGACAAATTAAAAAATTAGAAAATCGGAAAATTGGGAATTCGGGAAATAGGGAATCTGGGAAATCGGAAAATAGGGAAACTGGAAAATTTGGAAATCGGAGAATTAGATTGAAAGCTAGACAAATTAGAAACTTAGAAAATCCTAAAATTGGGAATTTAAAGTAGTCCTTCGAAAGGGCTAAATTTAGTGGCACCGAATTAATTGAGGAACCTAATAACAGTAAATTTTAAACAATCCTTACAATGAAATAAAAACAAAGGGAAGAAAGTATAATAGATGACATCACAGTAGAAGCAAGTAACACATTAGTCAAGTGATACAATTTTTTGGCCATCAGCAATCAACTGATCCTAAACCAACTATTAACTACCTAAGCAACATCTCCCACTGATATTTTCTTCGTCCCCTGCCCTCGATTGTCATCGCCTTTGTACCTTCAACCTCAATACGTAGGGGAACGAGCATGGCCAACTAACGTGGGATGATTGTCAGTAACTTCGTTCTCAATGAACCTTGACGATAGCTTGTCGGATATTCTCTCCGAAATGGACTTGCTTCCAAATTTGATGGCACCGTTTGTACCCTGCGGGTACGAAGGTAACGCTTCCAGAATTCGGGGAGGATTTTTCTTTACAGTTTGATTAAGGAAGGAACTTTTGTTGAGCGAGCTTTCGTCCAACATCCAACCTGGTCGAGCAAGGGTAGATGTTGGTAGACGTTGGCTAGGCCTGTAACTGTCCGCATCGCCGATCACAGGAGCACTGATTTGCAGATTTAAAGCGTTCAGCTGAAGATGATTGCCACCGAGCGGTATCGTGTCCTCGGAACCGCCAGACTTGCTGAGTCGACTGGCTGGCTCTGTAATGTGATTACGATACGTTTCATTTGTCTGTTCTGTTTGATACTGTTTGGGATTATTTCGTGGTGTCGAGAAGTAATTTTTGCATTTCTAATGTTGAATTTCCAGTGTGATGGTTGGAAATTCTAGAGTTTCTGAATTTTTAAGTCTCGAACTATCAAAATTTCCGAATGTCTAAATTTTAATCTTTCAAAATTAAAGATTTCAGAATTTCAAAATTAATAATTTGTAACGCTCTGAAATATCAATGTTTAAAAATTTGAAAATATCAAAATTTCAACAATTAAAAATTTGAAAACTTCAAAATTTCAGATTTTCAAAGTTCCAAACCTTCCAAATTCCAAACGTCACAACACGCACTTTAACAAATTTCCCTTTTTCCTCTGCAGAAAGCTATTTCCCATTCACCGAATCAAAATATCCCTAATCATCTTCTACAATCACATCAACCATCGTACCACACACACCCACTTACCAAAAGTTTTCGCTTCTCTAACGTGAGCGAGCAACTTATCGATCCTGCTCCTCCGGAAATAGGTATCGACAATGTCCGGTTTCTTAGTCTCCTCGTGCTCGCTGCTTTCTTCGTTATCAGCCTCGTTACCAATCTCATCTTCGTTATTTTTGCTATTGCTATTATTGTTAAGATCAGGTTTGGAAGGCATTATGTTATACTGTGTATTGTCTTTGAGCACCAGTGACGGTGGCGGAAGAGGAATGTGCGGTGACACATCCGGTAACCTCCAACGATTCAATTCCTCGCACCACGTTGCTGCAGTTCTAGCAGCAACGACATCGCGTAACGGACATCCAGGTCGAAGATGAGGGACCATCGCGTCGCATATCTGAGATGTAAGCAATTCTCTACGCAGAAGATCGCGTCTCTCCGCGTCCCAGGATGCTTGGAGATCGGCTGCTTCCGCTTCGAGCTGCTTCACTCGCTTCGCCATTCGCTTTAGAGCGTCTTCCGTCGACCTGTGTTGTAATAGACTTTTTAGACAAGTTATCATTTCTTTTCTTTAGTGGTAAAATGTGGAACACCGAGAAAACCAGATTTTTTAATTAATGAAAAATCACCCAGACACTGACTTTATCAATTAAAAAAAATAATATAAATTGTGTAGTAGTGACTGAAAAAAATAAATACAAATAGCATTGTTGATGGATAAAATCGCTGATTTTGAGAAGAAAAGTTAACTTTGTCGACGTAAAATCACCTTTGCACTGATTTTATCCACCAAAAAATAAATAAATATAAATAACACAGCCGATGGATAAGATCGGTGATTTTATCACAGACTTAGATTACCTTTACACTTCAAACGAGAGTAATAAAAGTGAAATCAATTGGGAATTCGAAAGTCCAGCATAAATACAGCTGGAGAAAACCAGCAGAACTTATCTAATTTATCCCCACTTTTTCACCTGACACTCGTAAAATTGCGTTTAATCACTAACCTAAGCTGGCCGTAAACCTGGAAGACACTTCCGTTGCCCTCTTGAGCGCTGGCCTCCAAAGCTGAAGCAAGAGCCTCCAGTTTCTTCCTCCTCTTGTCTCGTCTCCTCCTCAACTCCGTGTTCCCTTGCTCTTCTCCACCGATAGTCAGCTTCTCCAATCTCTTCAGTACCTCTTGCATGGCCGCCTCTCGTTTCTTTCTTCGTCTCTCCTCGCGCTCCAAGTCCTGCTCGTCCATCGGCTGCTGAGGAACTGGTTTCGCGTCTATGTTACCAATTGCACCAGCTTCGTGTTGAATCTTCAGAGACTCTAACTCCTCTCGAAGCTTCTGAGCCGATAGATTCGAGTGTTCACATTCCCTCTTCAGTCTTTCAACCTCTTCGGCGTATTTTGTCCGCCTGTCGCTTTCCTCGTCGTCGCTTTCTTCTCTCACGGAAAGTTCTTTTAAGATCGATTGATCACCCGACTCGAGCAACTTCTTCAGACGTTGCAGTTCTAGTTGGTATTGTCTCAGCAGAGCATCTTTCGGGTCCTCGTTGATCACAGGCTTGTTTTTGATACATCGAGCTCTGGCTGCGTATCGCAAGGTACTCAGAGTTTCTTCGCCATCCGCGTCGCTTGGACTTACGCAAGCTATCATCAGGGTCCTCGCGTTGCCGCCTAAACTGTCCCTTAGCAGCCTGGTCAGCTTGCTGTCTCTGGAAATTTCGAGGGATATTTAATAATTGTTATTTGCTGAATTCTGTGAATTTCAAGGGATATTTGATAATTATTAATTGCTGAATTCGGTGAAATTTGTGTGTCGTTGAGCTGATCGTTATTTTCTTTGACTTACAGAAGAATTTTTAATGTTTAAGGAAGTTTGAAGGGATGTATATAATTCGAGTAAGTCGAATTAAGCTGGTAACGATTGTCGTGATTTTTCTGTCACAGAGGGATTTTGAAAAATTGATCGAGGTACTTGATAACAGCAACCTTTAAGAATCTAGTCTTAGCTTAGCTTGCTCTCTCTGGAAATTTAAAGGGATATTTAAATTTCTAATATTTGAAAAATTATTAAAGGGACATCTTATAATTCTGCAATTAATAATTAAATTCGATGAAGTTTGTGAAACTTGTCATAACGATTCTGTCATGATTTTTCAATTGCAAAACGATTAGAAAAATCAAGTGAGACACTTGATAACAAAGCATCTTTTTATACCGGATGCGGCAGTAAAGTGTGATAATTCTCAAAGAGCGAAAATTAAACTGAAACAAAACACTACTATTAATTATACGATTCTTTTTATCATTTTCCCATTTTTTTACTGAGAATATCACAGTGTCAGTCATTAGTTTAATGTTCAAAAAATAATCGAATAATTAATAAATTACATTATACAACTATTTTTCAAATCTAACTCAAGTATCCCATAACAGCTGCTTAAAAATCGTCACATTTTACCGTCACACCTGTTACAAAGCTAATGCAAAAGTCTAATCTTTTCCAACGCCCCCTGCACAGTCTCTCCAGACTTTCCCCCCAATTATCGACTCACCTGTATGGCACATGTCTCCCTTGGCCAGCAGCCAAGGCGCTAATCACATTCCCCAGCGCGGAAAGGCTCAAATTAATACTAGCCGCCTCTTTCAGTCGATCTCCAGTCGCTCCAGTTCTCGCCTGCCTCTCCGATCCAGCAAGGTCCACCAAATGAAGCCTTCCCCTCTTCACCGTATTCTCAGTTTTACTGTCGTCGTTAATCGCCAACGTCTCCAAGGACAGAGTTAACACCGCGTGACTCCTAGAACTAGCTGCGTTCATCTTGGTAGCTGCAGCAGCTCTCCTTCTATCACCTTGCTCGACCAATCGAGCACACTCCGCAGCATCTTTCACCGTGACCTCTCTCAGGCCACCGGCCACGTAAGTTCCTCTATTCGGATCCTCTTTTAACGTCAGAAGATCGCTCATACCGTCTTGCAGCAGGTCTCTTAGTCGTTCGTTGTAGATCTCCAGGTAGCTGAGCAAGGCCAGGTATCTCATTTCCGCGCTAGCCGTCGACGTAGCCTCGAAAATGTGGTCCAACGTGCGCTCGATGAATCCTTTCATCGTGTGAGATTTTCCACAGCCTGTTTGACCGTAGGCAAAGACTGTCCCGTTGTAGCCGTCCAAGACTGCTTCCACGATTACAGAACCGACGTTCTCGTAGACGGATTCTGTGGTTGCTTCGGGGCCAAACGTAGCGTCGAATTGGTACACCTTGCCATTTCCGGTGCCCGCTGATGGACACTCCAGAGTGCAGCATTTCGACGGAAAGTCGATCGACACTACGTTCTGCGGAGATTAAGGTGAGTGAGGGGAGATTGGTAAGATTTTGGTGCGTTTGGAAGTATAGGAACCTCGATAACTCGAACCTCGTGGGAAAGGAAAAATCTTTGAGTTACAGAGGTTTCGATTTATCGAGTGAGAGAGTAAGAGAGATCATTAGCAATATCCTTTTGCTTTCTCGATCCAGTTTTTACTGTTTCAGTTGTGTTTATTTTTATTGAGATAATGATTAGAATTCATTTTGTTACATATAATCCGGAGAGAAGAATGAGAAACGATAGAACTTAAGAATGCAAGGTGAATCTTGTGAGTTTGACGAGTTTAGAATTATTAAATATGAATAAATTAAAAATGCTAAAAGAAGTGAATTGACGCATTGTTGAACGTATAATATTATATAGTAGAGACGTGGAAAATTCATGAATTAAGAGTAAAATTCTCATAGTGCGAGGTGTTAAGTAGACTCGTAACATATTTGGAGGATTGAAAAAAAATATTCTCGTTGAAGGGTACGAAGAAAAAATTCTCCTCGAAAAATAGAAATTTTAGGAATATAATTTACGGTCTACGAGAATTTGTAGTAGGCATAAGCTTCTGTGACGTAAATACTTTTTCTGTTTGTGCACTCTCGAGAGTGAGCCTTAAAATAAGGTAAATATTCTTAAGTGTTCGTGCTTCTGTTAGGAATAGACTTTTGTAAGCCGAAGAGCTCTATAAACTCGATGGAGAATATTCTTCAAATGGAAAAGAGTAAACAGAATAGACACGCCTAACGTGAAAATGACAGTCGTCAGCACGAAAGGAATAATTAACTTAATCCTAATTATTATTTGCAGTGTAGAAAATGTATAAATTGCCAGATATATCTTGTTCGTGTTATCTTTAAATACTACCTGTCATTGCAGTGTCGTTTCATCCATTAAAATTCAGAATTTTTTACATTTTTACATTTACTTGTACAATACTGAAATATGAATATTCATTGTTTTTATAAAAGCATTCTGCAGTCGAGGGCTTTCATTTTTCATAAATTTGACGAGTCATAGAAGATTCATAAATTAAAAATAATTCGCGTGAACGATTAAAACGTGTTCCTTGCTAAACTTAACGCTATTATTATTTTTGTTTTCCTTTTTACGAAACTAGTCGATCGATTACTCTCGGAGAAAGGCTGTCCAGAGAACATTCCAACCATGTTGAACGTATTAGCGAAACGTGTCCATTACTTGCGACATCAGAGTCCAGTAATAGTTCGTACTCATATCGATTCAATTTCGTGGAAATAGCAATAAAACTGAATTGTAACTTCGTTCTTTTTGCGCAGAAATTAAATTCCGTTTTTGTCTATTTGATAAGTGGAACACCGATGGCCTGTGATATTTGTCAGGAATATATTGTCTTTATTAAGTGGATCAGAATTTTTCTAGTTTCTTATTGATCTTATCTTTCTTTTTAAGTTCTGCATTTCCGTATTTCTACATTTCCATACTTCTATACTTATGCATTTCTATATTTCCATATTTCTACATTTCCGTATTTCTACATTTCCATATTTATATATTTCTCTATTTCTAAATTTCCATATTTCTACATTTCTACACTTCCATATTTATACACTTCCATATTTCTACATTTCTATATTTTCGTACTTCTATATTCCCACATATCCGTATCACCATCCCACAATTCTCCACACTTCTACATCTCAATATTCTCATATCCCTACACTTCCGTATCTCAACTCTCCCACTAAACCCTACATTCCTGAAACCAAAATTCAAAGCAAACGTCTTCAGTACACATCCCATCTTCCAAGCGTTTAAAACTTAAACACTTTTTCCTCTTCCACCGTTCCGTCCGTCAACGTTCCCCATGACTATATATACGTAACACGGAGCATCGTGTACGTCGAGTCGTCATTAAATTTACCATTCCATAATATATTCAACAGGCAACGTAGGCACGCCAAGCTGATCAGTGCATACACGGTGCATAGATAGCGGTATCGAACCGACGACGACGTTGCACACATCTACTTAACATACGTTTGTACGTTAGGTTCTCCCCGTGCTTCTTATCGATGGAACCAGGGATATATGCCAAATCGATGGAGAGGCACAGAGTCGTGCCACCACTTTTATACATTTCGTTCTTTTTTTCCCTCTCTCTCTCTCTTTCCTTCCTCTTTACGTCCGTGCATGACGACACACGTGGTTGACACAGTGACGCGCGCGTGACACACGTGTACTCTTTGTGGATGTGACTTTCGCGTGGATGCGTTTCCATGACTCACGGTAAGTATGTATGTAAAGCGGTTGTGCAAAACGTAGAAACACGAAACACGTTCGTTTGATACAAATGCGATGTATGTAATTGTTTCGGTGTTTCTTGAAATTCACTTTGCATTTCTCTCTCGTTCGAGAATCGTGTTAGCAGGCTGAATGGAGGAAAGAAAGAAAGGGTTGATAGAGGATGAATGAATAGATAATAATAGCGTTCCCTCTTTTATTTTTCACGCGAATTGTCGAATTTTTTCGTTTAGTGTTTGGACAAATTTTTTGGACTGATCGAATTTTTTTTTAAATGAAAATTAAAATTTGTGAGTGATAAAATGAGAGAATAAAGTATCATTTATGGAACATATTGGTGTATTTTAAAGAATGTGTATATACTGGGAACGTATCAATTATTTTCACTGCTATTAAAAGAAAAAAAAAAAGAATTACTAAGAAGAGTTTATATCATTTATCTGATTTATAACTTCGCAGGATCATCGTGAAGATCATTGCAGGATCATCGACACTTTTCTGCATACTTACATCTATTTTTTATAATGCTACGTTGCACCCAATGTTAAAATGAGTTCAACGACCTATGACGTCATACCCATGAAATGACTTTGAACAATGTCAAAAGTAATGGAAAAAAAAAACGCAATAAAATGTCGATGACCTTAGGGAAACTTGTTTAGTCAATAATGAAAATAATAAGTACAAATGAATGAATTAGAAAAGGTGAGTAATTTGAAATAGCTGTTGGATGAAAACGAAATTATCTCATATTATTATTATTATGCGAGGTCTTTCGAAAAGTTTCGCAATTTTTTTCAAGTCATGTTTATCCTGACCTTTAACACTGTTTCAAATCTTTCTTTTGAGTTCCCGATTTATTTCACTTTTATTATCCGGATCTGAAGACGGAAAAAGTAATCTGCGTATGGCTGCCAGTCGTACAGTTTATCGTTGAATGTTTAACAGTAAACATGTCAGTGGATAAGAAAACTTGTGTATCTTTTCAGACAACACTGTATATGTTGGAACAGTGCAGAGATGGTTTGCAAAGTTCAACCCTTTGCACTCCACTGGTGTTATTTCATATGCACCATAACTCCATTCAAGTTTTATTTATATATCGAAATGAAGTAAATTAACAAAAGAGACAAAAGTCGATAAATTTAAAATAAAACTTTTTCTTCTCAAAAGTGTCACTGCAAAAATGTGTTCAGAGTGCAAAGGGTTAATAAAACTGAGGATTTAAGCGTTGAAGATGAACTTCGTTTTGGACGACCATCGAAAATTTAATTTTTTCATTGAAAACTATGGAAAATTATTGGAAAGTATTTCAGTGAAAAGAACGAAAGATTTTTACGCAAAAGAAATTGATAAATTACCATAAAGATAGAGAAGAAAGTAAGCACATTGTAGCATAAGTTAAATGAAGGCCATAAAAAAAGGTACAACTTCCCGACAGATCTAATAGCATCGTCTATAATCCCCTACTATTGAACAAAGTACAAAGTAAGGGACTTCAATCTCGTTTTATAAAATATCAAGACACCGTTTATAAACTTCCCCCATTGAGGCAGAATGAAATCTGAAATCGCTCTGGAAAAGCGTCTCATGAAATACTCAATCGTGTACAGAGCTACTATGGAACTAAAGACGGACCCTTCCAACTCGCTGAAAAATTCAACCGCTCAAACGAGCCTCTTGTAGCGTTCCAGTCATTCGAATTCTTCAAGGTCGTATTAAATCACTAAAACCAATCCAAAAAAATTTTCAAAAAATCCCTCTCAACTCTAAACTATTCCAAAAATTTTAAAACAAAGATCAAAATCAAAATAAATAAAATTTTTAAGAATCCACCTATTCACACCTGTTTAATAAAGTGGATTAATCATCTTTAAGTGGACCAACGAATTCGTTGAATGGAGATAGGTTAAAAATGAAGGCTCACAGGGTAGCATTCCGTGAAAAATCGTCCAACAGGGAAATTGCAATGCCGATGCATGCCAGTCGCGTGTTTTGATATGGTCGCTAGGTTACAACGCGCTCGATAGAGCGATGACGAGTTTTCCACATACTTTAGACGGATAAACAAAACGAGAAACCGAAGCGGAAGTGCGCTAGATGCACGCCGACCAGGCGATCTGTGCAGGTGCATATGACGATGGATGAGAAGAAGCCTTGATAATCCCGTGCACATGGTTCCGTTAGGTGTCCCTCATCTCTTGGATAGAGAACATACCCTGCATCCCTGTTGCCGTTCCTTGGGGTTCATTGGCCGACATCTTACGGCCACTTTCACGGACTCGCTCATCTAGAATTAAAGAAAGCTAGTTTAGGTTTTTAGATGTAGTTGGGACTTGAGTTATATGTATGAGTTTATTACAGGTGGATGTCGGTGTTGATTGAGAGATCATTGTGAGAGGAAAATGATCAAATGAAGGGTTTGATGTTTGTTGGATAATTGTAGGTTGAGTTTTTAGATGTGAGAAGTGGAAAAGTTTAACTGTAGTTTCAAGCATTTTTGAAAATTATAAAATTTGAGAAAGTTTAATTTTAGTTTCAAGCATTTATGAATATAAAGAAAAATGGGAAAGTTTAATTTTAGTTTTATGTATTTTTGAAGATTACAAGTATTTTGGAAAATTGCAAAGTAGGAAACTTTGTAGGAATCTTACTTTCAAGTATTTTTGAGAATTATGTGAGTAAGAGTTGTTTTGATGGTTATTAGAAGATCAAGTTTAGAATTGTTCTAAATTTATGCGACATTTATTTAATAATTATTTTTTACTACTTATTGTTTAGAGTATTTGGTATTTATTAGTGTTACTATTACACTGTAGCTGAAAATTGAAATTCGTAGAAAGCTTGAGTTAATTATTCAGTAAAATTATTGTCGTAACTGAAGTCTGAAAACTGGATATTATCGCACTTATAATTACAGGTTTGCCTGTTTAGCGTTCAATTTATATTAATAAAACGTAAATAACGAAGTATGATAAAAACGGAGAAATAACCGGTATCGAATTAATATTAATACGTTTATTTTAGCATTAGCAGGTAACAAGAAAAAGTGTAGAATTCTTTAAAAATAAAAATCTTCAACTGTTAATTCATTTTTTTCCACTATTTATTCTCTGTAATTAATATAGTACATCTTCTCCAAGTTCGCAGTCTTTACAAACCCACAATTATCTCGAGACTCGTCGTATAATTTCACTCATTAGTCGTCAGCAGCTATTAAAACGAAACGAGAAAGACAAATGTTTCCACTACACTCTCTGCAAATTAATCTTTCTCGTTCTCGCAACGAGACTCGTAAAGCTTACGTAAAAATAATAGTCGAAAGGTTAAAATATTCCCGATCAATAGAGAAAGGAGAAAGTGCTGAAAAGAATCGAGTGTATTAATACATCAAAAGCCATAAGAAAAACAAATATGAAAAAAGAAACTAAATACACAATTATATCAATACCTATCACGTTAACGATGTAAATATCATTTTTATAAGTTTCTACAATTCGATCGATTTTCTCCTGTTTTTCTCCTTTCTTATACATACATAATTCATGCAATTTCTGACGCCAGCGACACCACTCGATATTGTGCTTTTCAAGAGCACGCTCCTTTTTGCTCGTTAAGCATTCTATTCATGTGTCGGTGGAATGTATGAGTTGCCCTTGAACCCAGTTACGCGTTGAATCACCCCGAATTATAGTGTGTCCAGCTGTACACACGTCTCTGTGTATGTGACCAACATCGGCGGAATCGCAGTTGAATGTGTTTTCCGAGATTGCATAATGGGGTAAGAATGACTGATAATTAAAGTTTACAATGGATTGTTCAAACATACGAGAAAACGTGGTATGTATTGTGTTTCATAGGTTAAGAATACGGAACGTATAAGAGCTATAGTAACAAGAAAGTACAGTTTGTGGGAACGATGCATAGTGAGGTCGTAAAATCGCGCCAAGTGTCAAAGTGCATATATGATCGTCAAAACAACAGTTTGAGTGAGATAAGTATCTCGAACATCGTTCGATGTCAATTTGCAATTGCTTCTTTCATTGTAGTACATTTAAACAATTTGTCTGTAATACTCGGCAGTTGCAGGTTACTTTTGACCAATACAGCAATCACTATTGAGCAGGTGGCTACAAAGGTTTATCATCGTATAGCTTTAATGAAAGATTGTAAAGAAAATTTTTGAATATCAATTCACAAATGACGTATGACGATTACATCAATCGGTGACGGCGTTCAATGCTTTAATTTATGATCTCACTTTCATTGAGCACATGTGTAACGTTTTAAAATGTATAATTACAGTGTGAGATAAAGCGTGATAGGATGATACTAATTATAGAGAGGATAAAACTAGGTACAGTGCATATACATATAATGTATGATTCAGGATGCAGAAGGGTAAAATATATTGTGCTTGTGGTTTTTGTAGGTACAGTATCGATCGATCACTAATCAATTTATTTGTCAATATTCATATTATTTATTGATACAAATACAGTAAATAATGAATAAGCTACAAATACGATATTTTATACATTCATTAATACAAATACATAAATTTTACAGATAAATGCATATAAATAAACATAGTTATATATTAGAGTTAATGTAGGTGTGTAGATAGAACAATAAATAATTTAAAAGTACAATATCTTTCACGAATTCATAGAGTTAACCTAAATGAATCCAAATTTCTCCGTAAATGTTTTATTTAACAAGTTTTTGTACAGAAAACACCTGTAGATTGAATACCCACAAACATTGTGAACCCCTACGTGAATCAGAATATCAATCAAACTGTATAAGCAGTGAACAGAAATAGGCCGAGTGCAGGCGGTTAATGGGGTATATACACAGTATTCATACACAGATGTCGCTGATGTGCACGTGACAAAAAAGTTACGTTACATAGTAGGCGCGAAAACAACAATTTGTATAGCACATATCACGAGTACGCGAAGAATGAAGTAGCTGGACATAAGTTAAACGCGCGTACAATTCATTCCATGTATTCTACGTCCGCGCTTGATATGTAGATGAATTCCGATCACGGAGGGTAGATAAGAAGACGACCCTCTAACCGAGTAAACTCTGCAATTTGACCTAGTACAAGGAAAACTCAGATTGGCTGTAGTTACATCTATAACTGCTGATCGAACAAATTTTGAAAAATTCTTCCATTTGTAAAATTGCACAACATTCCCTTCTATAACGATCAATTTTACAGAGATTGCAAATGTAAGAGCTCTAAATTTATCTTTTCATTTACCAAGGATTATATTATATTGAACATAATACGTGTAGGTTACGTAAAATTTTACATTCTGACAAATATCGAACGTTGTTACATGACTTTTTTTTTATAAAATAATAGAGAAAGATTTCTTCAAATGCGGCCACGAGATTTTTTAATTCAAAAGAAGAATTTTCGATTCGATTATCATAAAACAATATAACTCGATAACCTTAAAAAATCAAATAATTTAAACATTGCAATAAGCAATCTAAATAAATTTTATGCAAAATGTGAATAATGAAAAAAAATTAACTTGTAGACAATTATAAACAAATAATTCAGCAAAATTTTTATAATAAACACTGATGCGATCCAAGTTTTGGTTCTTATTACTCACTTCAATGAAACGTGTATTTTCTTTTTCGGCATATGAATTATCCTTTGATCGCGAAGTTGCACGTCCTCATGTGCCGCGTAAAAATAATTTGAAACGTATTGTACACCGCATGACAAGCACACCTGAACTGACACGCAGGTTTCAATGTTGCGAATTTACAGACACCTTCGTTGTCGACTTGCGCTCATTCGAAAAATCATAGGATGCGCGCGCACACATTTTCGTCGTTCACTACTTCTCGCAGTAGACACCATGTGTTCAATTTGTACTTTATAATTTCGATGTTCTTTGATTACTTGAGAATATTCGTTTAATATGACTGGATATAATTTGAAAAATGATAATGAGGTTAAAGAATACCTAAAAAACCTGCATACCGAATACATATTCGGTTGTCGTAGCGAGAAAAAACCTGAGGGTATGTATTAAATTCTCTAATGATTCTAACCTTATATTTTAAATATTTCGTATTTTCTAATAGTTTGTCATTTGCTGGGCGATTATACGGAATCTATTACAAACGATGAAAAAAAGGCGGCAATCATATATAAGGAAAATTGTGATAAACGTAATTTCGGTAAAAGTTGCACAAAATACGGAGATTTCAGGGCAGTAGGTGAGTATAGATGGCGCATATATAGGCGTATACATATAGATGTCGTACCGCGAAATTTGAAATATCACAGTTCAATAAAATAGCCATTAAAAACAATTTTTACTGTTAAATTTTATTATTTGCGAATTGCTCTTCTTCGCTTGTGATATATTGTGCGATATATTATGTAAAGTGTGTGTAATTAAATTAAAATTGAATGAAATCGATATTTAGTTTTTATGCAATTGCAAATTGTATATTTATAGGTAGAGGATGCAAGAAAAATACCGTAGAAGCATTTAAATATATGCGAAAAGGCTGTGATCTTGATGATCCAAGAGGTTGTCTTCATGCTGGTGCTTTAGCAATAAGTGCAGAAGAAGTTGATCTATCCAGGGAGACTGAAATTTCTTTGGGAATGCATTTCCTAAAAAAGGCTTGTGATCTTAATCAAGAGAAAGGTTGCTTTTATTTATCAGGACTTTACTTGTCAGGCATAGATGGATATGTTGAAAAGAATTTGAAGGAGGCATATGTATTATCATTGAAAGCATGTGAATTTGGAAATCCTTATGCCTGTGCCAATGTATCCTTAATGCATAAGAAAGGTGACGGTGTGCAGCAAAATGCAGAATTGGCTAAAAGCTTTAGGACTAGAGCTGAAGATTTGCTAAAGGAAATAACAAAATATAAAAAACAATTGAAATTTCAACAAGGCGTTGACCCTTAATTCTGTATTATTTAAGATTGTTCTGTACAGCAGATAGACATATAAACATTAGTAGTAAATAAGACATAGATTAAATCTCCCGCTCCTGCATCTTAGAAATGAAATGAAATATTGATTTTCATCATTGTAATTGTCTTTCTACACAATGTCAAAAGGTATCAACTCTGTTAATGTAACTGAAGAGATTTGTTTTTGACAGCAGAATTATCTTTATTGTTTCATTGTTTGAACTAATTGCAATAAATTTAAAATGTTTTTTAATCCAATATCAGATCAGATAAATACATATCTATGAGTGTAAACAGTTAATACTATTACTCTCTGTTTATATCTTGAATTGTTACTTTTTTTTTGGATAGTACATCAGAAAAAAAATTCGAACATGGTTCATTTACTCTTTTTCTTGTTCAAAATGTCTGCAATTATTAACAGCATTTATGATAATGTCAATTAATGTCCACACATATTCGTACATTGTACCTTCTAGTGGTGAAAGTGAAGTAATATATGATGTATTTATCAAGGAACTTGTTTATTTAATTAACACTATATTCTAATTATGATAATTTTGGATGGATGCAATCGGTTGTTCGATTATACCACAGCTGATTGTGCATTGAAATTTTATTCCGGCCAATTTATCAAGCCGCTCGCCTGACACCCTACAATTTGTGACCCAACACACTTGTTTTCAGCGAGAAAGTCGTAGAAACCTTTTGCGTTCCACGCTTACTACGTTAGATTACTTAAAGTTATTTTCTTGGCAACGCACAATATTCTATCCATTCATGTTGCAACTAAATAAATGTTTTCTGTTTCTTTTTTCAGTCTATTTCTGAACGTTACGTCTTACGTTTTTCTCGAATAATACGTACACCGAGTATTCAGCTTTTCGTAAAATTTTACTCGATTGAAAATTTTTCTTATTTTAACGAAACTAAGCTTTTTTTTTTAAACGCAAACCGATTCTTCTGAAATTTTGAAGTGTACTTCTAGAACTACCTCTAATTATAACAACTATTACGTTATCTACGCAACAGTTAAAATAACAAGACATTCTATTTCTGTGTAATTATCAACCTTTTTCACCATAATAGTTTACTTGAGTTCAAATACGTACCGATAAGAAAGATTTGATAACAATACCGTGAATGTTTGAGATATGATGCAATTCTGGATTCGAATATAACTTAGAAATATTGCATGACGATGCAGATCGATTTGTTTAAGAAGACCACTTAAAATTAACGAAGAAATCGATCAATTTCAACTGAACTGATATCTTCTTTTTGATATCTATACAAATTAACTCTTTTATATACAACGAACAAAGCTATAGGAACGATATAAAAATTCCTAGAACGTTAAACTAATGTATATAGTCCTCTATTTTATAACTGAAGTATGGTGTATCTCTATTTAAACTAGGCGTAGCTCTATTGTGACCTTTAGAAATTCTCGAAATTATAACGTGTTATCGAGGCCGAAGGAGCGAAAGCTTTAAATCTTCGAACAATGAACTTTTGTTTCTTTCGTCGGAAAAGGAATTACCTTATTAAATATACAAGCTACTCCGTTCGTGCATTCCAAATTCTTTTGTCGCTAGTATCAAAAGGAGAAGAAAAGAAACGAATTCGCTGTTATTGAAAATTATTTTCAATCACTTTTTAGGCAATTTTTCAGTTATGTTGCCTCCAACACTAATAGCAATAAAAAAATTACGCAATTTCGTAGTAAAATTTCACGCGTTAGCATTATACAGCAACGATCGAAAATTCGAAACAATTACAATCGACACTTGACACAAACTCGTCTGTTTCGATAAGAAAACTCGTCGAACATCGTTTATCCTTAAGATTCCTCGAGGCTTCCAACTTATCCGAACAAATTTCCTTGGAAGATCGTTCCTAAACTCTATCACCGTCCGCGGATAAAGAGTCTTGGAAGTTTTCAGTCATAAACGTTAACTCGACTTTCTCGGGTTCCCATTGTGTCCCCCGTCGAGACAAAGCAGATTACCCGCGGGGGGAAAGGCGAAGAGGAGAGGGACCATCGATCAAGCCTGCCTCGTACTTTTCCTCCTTGTGAACCTAGCAGATAGAAAGGACGAGCCCTCTCGATCGAAGTAAAAACGGCGCGATGTGCAGTACAGTGGATGATCGAATTATCAGAGTGCGTCTTTTTGCGTAGAAATAAAATTACAATATCGAGGTTTCTACTGTGAATAATTTTTAATTCACAATTGTCCATTAAGTATTCGCATAGAAAGTGAAACTTAGCTTATGCAGCTATAAAAAATAGAAGTTAGTGTTTGGTAGCGCTACCTTTTCCTGCAATTACAGCCTTGATTCCTTTGGGCATATTTTTAATTACACTTTAAGTAATTTACTATATACTGTATACGGCGACAAAAATTCAAATGCTCGTGATCTATGAACCAAGTACCTACTCGTACAAGATAACGTTCATACGACAGATAATATTGCCTAAAGTGTTCCCAAGTGTGTGTTTGCAATTTGCAAATGTCAATGCTGAATCAAAACCGTCGATTCTTTGCAGTTAGCTCTATTAATTCGATCCCACGCTGCGCATTCCTCGAGTAAAGGAACGTTTCATTTTTCGTTTCTTCTTACTTTTTCAACCTGAAAATTTTGCAGAGCCTCCTTGAGTAAGTCCTCCTTGTGTACTTAGTTATCACGAAGGTGTATATTTGGTGTGAAAATCATGCATGGGCAAAACCTCGGGTAAAGGAACGTTTCAAATGCCACCGAGAGTATTTATCGATTATTCATCTCTCTCTCTCTCCTCCTCCGCTGTCACTCTCGTTCTCTTTCTCTCGTGCCCCCTTCTACATTTTCAAAGTCCCCCTCCGCGGCATCGGTGCTATAGGCAAAGCTGGTTTAAAGGCTGGTGGCCGGTTTATCAGCGGGCCAGAAAGACCATGCGGTGCTACCTGTTCACTTCGAGCTGCTCGCTCGCAGCCATACTCGTTGCCTTCCTCAGCCATGGTGCCCTGGTGAGTGAGGACTTTCTTTCTCTTCGTTTCTAATAGGTTAAATGCTGGCACACAACTAACAGAGACGTTCAATGAAATTGTCATTTATCGTCTGTTCCTTTTTCCAGGCTACCACCGATTTGTTTACAGTTTCTGTCTTTTGAAAAAATTTGGTTCTGTTGGATCACTTCACTCAGTAGATAAAGTAGAAATTGTAAAATTAATTTTCTTTTTCTTTTGGAAGCTTTTCGTTGGTAAATTTAGTTCGCTTAGTAAGAATTAATTTTCGACACGTTGTTTTTAATTTAAAAAATTACCTGTTTTTTTTTTTAAGGATAGAACACTTATAAATTTTATTTATTTTTTTTTGCTGTGGTAAATATACTTTTGATACTTTTATATTTTATTGTGTACGATTTTATGTGTTGTTAAGTGTTTAGAAATTATTGAAATTCGTTCTTTTTCGAAAGATGGTAGTATTTAAGCAGTTATTTAATGTTTTAATAATATTGTTATGAGTAACATATGTTACGTTCGACCCCATGTTTTAGGAAATTTAACGCGTTTGTCAATCGTTTGTTAACGATCACTACTAACGACAAGTTAGCCATTACCTTCTAATGACACTTGCGCAAAGCGAAAAGTGGAAACTTTCTTCTTTGTGATACCAGTTCTTTTTCTCTTCCTAAGGCTAAATTTCTCTTTGTGTTCTCACACAGATTTATTTTTCAACATGTACCTTTCGTTAAAAATTCTCGAAACTGAGATATTAAATAAATTGTATTTTTGAATAACTTCAAATAATTTCTTTGAACATTCGAACGATTCAAATAATTATGAAAACAAAAAATGTTAGACAACCTTTTCTGCTTCGATATTCTTGCTCTCCCTCTTTTTCTCGTTTGTAATAGCGAAGTTGAAGAAGTTTGTTTTTTTTTCTCTAATTTTAATTCGAGACTCTGATAAATGCTTATTTTTGGTACACCAAGCCGAAGAGGCTATCAAAACAGTAGTGAATCCGGTTTTCAAGCGCTTTTTCTTCTCTCGAGTATCGTGAAACATTGAAACCTGTTTATCAGTTATGCACGATGGTGTTCTTTGTCCCGAGAGTTGCTGAAGAAATCGAAAGATACCGGAAAGATAATCGTTAGAAGTTCGTTAAGATAATCAAGTTACACGAAATAATTAATTAGTTGCAGAGATTGACGTTGAGATTGATAGATTGGACGTTGAGATAGAAACTAAACGGAAAATTTCTTAAAATTCTATTCTAAAATTAATCATAAAGTTATTGAAAATTTTCAGAATTTTTCGAAAATTTTTGAAACATGTGTAAGACATGTTATTGCAAAACATATAATTGTTAAGAAGGTTGTAATTAGAAAGATCGTGACAAGATTTTCGAACAGTATTCTTTTAATAGTAAAAAAACTTTCGAAATTTACAGTAATTTTTAGATGAAACGATGATCAATATACGAGGAGTAGTAATTAGATGCTTGTATTTTGAAATGGGCACACGATGATGAGCAATTCTTTGATAATTGTACAGGTGGCTGGTAACGAAGCATCGAATAACGTGGTAAACGTAGGAGTTTACTATGAATCACTATGCCGCGATAGTATGCTATGGATCAAGGAGAAACTGTTGCCTTCGTACGATCAACTGAAGGATTACATGAATATTACTTTCATTCCTTATGGAAAAGCGTCGGTAAGTCATGTTTTGCATCGAAACGTTTTATTAAATTTATTATACTTACTAATGGAGTATGGTTTACTGCAAAAGTCGCAAACGATGCGTTTTGCATGTAAAATCTGGTTGTTCTTATTTTCTGAATATTTAGAGGTACAACAAAAATGTTAAACTTGAAGAAATTCGTAATTTCAAAAATTTTAACAAATGAAAAGCACAAATATTTATCGTTTGTTAAGAAAGGATTTCGTTACACTTGTTGCACTTCAAAAGTTCCCAATTCACGCGTTTTACGTATAAAATCGGAACATTTAGAAATGCGATCAAAATTTGAAACTAAAATTTTCGGAAATTTTAATAAAAACAAATTAAATTTTAATTTTAATTTTAATTTTTGATTGCAAGTAAACATTTACTATTGCTAAGAATTGTCAATTATTTTAACTTCTTGGAGTAGCAGTGATTTAATTTTTTTTGTTCGCTTTAGATTTTGAAAAGTTTACGCAAGAATTTTTCCTCTATCGATACACTTTTTCAAACAATGAAAATATTTTCGCGATGTGTATGTGAATAATGGAAAAATCTTCTTGTGACGTACATTTCGTAATCGGTGTTTGCTGAAGAGTACACGTTTCTCCGAAAAAAAACCAGAAGAAATCGTTGTCGAATCGCGATAAAACGTTTCCTTCGTGAGACAAAGCGATCTTCCTGCGGTTTCCTGTTATTGTACAATACCTCGTTCGAAAAATCGTCACGTAACACCGAGTTGAGTATACATTTACATTAAAATGAAAAATAATTTTAAAAAAATTCATCTTTCCTTAACCTTTTTTATATTTTTTTCTAAACTAGTAATCATTCTAACATTATCATTTGCAATAATTTCGCAGCAATGATCGATGATGTCTTTACCTTGACATAATCTGCAATCTGAATATTCAGATTAGCCCCCAATAGTTAATCCCCAAACTGTTCGACAACTTGAGTTTGCAATGTTAATTAAAAGTTAATACGAATATGAAACAGCCCAACATAACTCCAACTTACTTTTGTAATTCACCTATTCTTGCCTTTAATTCCCACATTGTCCGACAACTTGAATTTCTAATATCAATCAACAGTCGACAGAAATATGAAAAATGCCAGCATAACTCTAACACTTCTTTTTAATTTCAAAAGAAAAATTTTGAATTTCCTTCTTTTTGGAAACTGAAATTTTTCAATATCCTCTGATCGCGTGCGTTGGTAACCGATTCTCTGCTCGCAGCACACGCAGAACCCTGGAACCGGTCAGTGGCAGTTCTCGTGTCAGCACGGTTCCTCCGAGTGTGATGGAAACATGGCCCAAGCGTGTGGTATTCACGCGATTCAGAAAGAGGAACAGGCTGAAAAGGTTCAACAACTCACCGTGTCCCTGGTCGGTTGTGCAATGACCTCGCGTTATCCATCGTCATCCGTTCCACAGGTAGCCATTTATCTTGTTTCTTTAATGTAAACCGAACAACTTGACATCCCACTCTGATATAATTACCATTCTGCCTGGATAATTTCCGTTTTCTCTCAACCGGCAAATTTCGTTTCCCGCGGTACCGGATACCCGATTGCCCGGCCGTTTGTATGAATTATAGATGGAGAAAATTCACGGGAATTTTAAGTGGCTCTGTAATCGATTTTTTCGATTAAGAATGGTATCCTGTTCACTTTATGGTGAAACAGAGGTGGAAGTATGTGTGTGCTTCTTTATTTCAGCCTCGCAGTGGAGAAATTTGGATTTGGTATATATTTAATGTAACTTTAAAAAGGTAACTTGATCCATTGGTCTCATTTTTCATTCTTTTAATTTTTTTCTAACTTATTTCTTTTATTATTATTGGCATATTTAGTGATTCTTTATCGCCCCGTTGTACTTTCCTTCTTCCTTCTTCTCTTCAGTTTTCTAAGCTAACTTAATGCATTCACTCGTTCGTTTCATTTCTTTTTTCCTTAACTTGTTTCTTTTGTTATTATTTCACTTATCGGTATACTGTTTTCTATACTTCTTTTGTTTTCTTCTTTCTTTTCTTTTTCAATTTTCTAAGCTAACTTAACCCATTCACTCCTATCTTCTTACCTGTCGATCCATTGTCGATCGCATTGCACTTCAGTTTTCTTCCTTCCCTTTCCTCTCTCGTCCTTTCTTCTGTTTGCTTCTTATCGGAATATCTGATCGATCGAACAGCGAGATAAGAAGCTTTTTATGTAATTGAGTGTATATTTGCGTTTTTGATGGTAAGGCGATTTTTGTCTTTGCACATGCCGGACAACGAGATAAAAGTATTGACAATAGGAGTGACAAGTGACAAGTTTGTTGACGAACGAGGCACACAGTTCAGATAACAGGATCACATTTTTCGTTCTAGAAATATACCTACTTGCTATACTTACTGCAGCAATATTATAATCAAGCGTATGTACAATATTTTTCCATAAGTTTATAACAAATTTTATACCAAAATTAGATGAACATTTCGAACACATCTTTAACCCTTTGCACATTCGTAATACGTATCACAGCTTCGTTCAAGTCTTGTTTAAATAAAAATTAAGTAAATCAACAGAAGAAATTGAAACGAACAATTTCATAGAAATACGTGTCGAATATTTTTCCAAGACCTACCACGTATCCAAGTTTCATCAAATTTGGGAATTATCACTTCGAGATCCTTTTTCTTCACACCCTACATAGAGTATATCTGGGAGTGATGGAGTACTTTTTCAAAGGTACAATTCAATCGATTAATTGAATAAAACAGAGTGGGTTTTGCTCATGGTGTAGTGTATTAAACGATACAATAATAATGTTCAATAATCGTCTAACCGAGGTGCTTTGTACTTAAATACAATTAAAAAATTGCATTTCTTTCAGAGTTGTCGGGTATTCATAAATCGTGCAATAAAATTATGAAAAATATTTTGATAATGCAATATTGTACATGAGTTTAATTAGTAAATAGTAAATACCGTTTAATACAGAAGTATAATAGCGATCTTGTAATCTAACAGGTATTTCAAAAAATTTATAAACAGATTTACCCTAGTATAAAAATAATTCCCACGAATTTGAACTCTTTCACTATAGGCGCTTTGAAAATTTGTTCGCATTGTGCTATTGCAGCCTTCCATATTAATTCAGGCCTCAATTTAATCTCTACACTCTTCCACGTTAATTCGCTAAAACAAATTTCAACACGACACAACGAAAAAAGAAAATTTCACAGCCGTTGTGGGACATCTTAATCTGCCACTCGCCTTGTGTACCAAAATTTGCCGCGGCGAAAGTATTAATCACTAAAGTATATTAATTTCGATCTGAACGAAACGCTGAGTTTCGATCATCTCCCCGAGATAACACGGTGAAATGAAATTTCCAGTGCGCGAAGAAGGCAGGACTAAGCGAGAAGGCGAAAGAGAGCATCAACAAGTGCATCGAGGGTCCTCTGTCCAAAGAGCTGTTGGTTGCAAATGGCGAAAGAACATCGGCCCTGAACCCGCCTCTTTCTTTCGTCCCAACGTTCACGATCAACGGAGTGAGTAATCCAAACACATCTCTACCATACGAAAAGAAAAGAAAAGAAAAGAAAAACCCAATTACCAGTGAATCATCTTTTCAATCATCTCTTCTGTCTTCTTCTTCTGACTCTTTCTCTCGTCTATTCCAGGTGAACTCGAACGAGATCCAAAACAAGGCGTTCAGCGATTTCCCTAAACTAATTTGCGACTATCTGGCGGAGGGAGCGAAGCCGTCGCTGTGCAGTAGAGCTTGAAAATAAACGGTTGCTTAACCCTTTCGCCACTAAAAGATCTCTGTAGTGGGTCACACTGCTTTTTATACAAAGCTTGCTGCAGCGTGTCATCGCTATAATCCGTGTAAGAGGCCACTATAGTAGGTTAGCGACAAGATTCATCGAGGAAGAAAAAAGACGAAAGAAGGATTTGCAAAATATCCGGAATGATTTATGTATTATTTTTGGTTGTGCCTTATGCGAAGCACTGCTACGGTGAGTCTTCTGTTAGTTAAGGACGTGCTGTAATTGAAGAAGCACGATTTAAGAGTGTGTTTTATTGTTGGAAGATTAGAAGTGGTAGTGATATTTTTCCATGTAGTAACATTTAGAAGAGACAAATTGTTGTAATTTGAACGGTCGACTGGAGAGGAAGTGTTCGTCCTTTTTATATGAATTGTATGATGAATAAATAAAATGTCCACCCTTGATAAGCACGGTTTTAGTAGTACTGGAAGAGAAATTTCCTGATTAACAAGAATTCTATGTAAATACCATTTTTCTGAAATGTGTTGAAAAAAGGGGATCTGAGGATCACAAAATGTCAATAATGAATTTCAACTGGAGAAATTGAATCTCCAAATCTGTAATACAAAAGAAGAGTGTAAATAGGTGCAACGAGATAAGCACACTTTTGGTAGCAGATCACTGGAACAGAAATTTCCTGATACTCGTATCTTCAATATTAACAATAATTCTGTACAAACACCATTTTTCATAAATGTGTCAGAAACGAATATACAAATACTGACTTTCCACAAAGTTTCTTAACATTCTTCAGTAAAAAAAGATGTAACAAAATTGATTAAAACTGGGAAAAAACTGAAGCTTCAAATCATAGAGAAGAAATCCTAAATTTATTACCTGCAATTGAAAAAAAGTTGAAGAAATCACAAATAGATGCAATAAAAGTGTATTATCTGCAGTTGATAAACTGCGCGTTTTTACAACATAAAAATTGTACAGAAAATATGTAAAAATTCCTATAAAAATCGTACTGGAACTGTACAAGAGGTATAAATTCTCGAAAACGTGCAAGAAACTGGAGCCAAGTTTGATAATCAAAAAACCATGTATTTAATGATTAATATATACAAGTGTCTATGTACAAAAATATATCTATCGAGTAAACGAGTCAGCGTATAAAACCGAGTACAAAAAAGTGGAAACAAGTCTTTGGAAGTGTGGCCCCTAGCCACGTGAAGTCTCCTCCTTCTTCTTCTTCTGATATTCTTCAACCGTCGATGAAAACCGCGTCGTCCAAGCTGCTCAATTCGAGAAACTGTTGTTCGATGTCGGAGCCAAGCTCTTGGAAGTCAGGAACCTCATCCTCGACCTGGTACCCTGTTAAAGAAGAGTAGACGAATCTCGATGAGCAATCAATGCGCCAGTTTCACAAACCCGGTTAAATCGAACCGAACCGAACCCAGACCTAACTGACTACTAAAGTTAATTAAAACTAGCGAGCAATTTAAAATAAACTCGCGGTGCAGCGGCAAGTGATGTTTGGAAGGCGGACCGAGGCATTTGTTGGATCGGCGATGGTATTGCGAGCGAGTCGAGCGGGGGTTGGGGTAATGTGAAAGAGTGAGCGTGTAATTATTTGGTAGAAAATCGCGGCCTCGAAGAGGGCTGGAATTTAAAAGGGCACGCGTGTGTCGCACGTGGCAAGAGCGCGAGAGTTGTCGTCTGTTTTGGCGCGTGCGTTACGTGCGTGTGCTCCCGGCCAAAAAAGTCGGGAATATTATTTTAAGACTCGGTGTGGGGTAAACGCGTAAAGCGGCGAACCTCCTCTGAGATTAAGCATGGTGGAGCCAAGCGCGCACTGTCATCGGCGTCGTTACCATTCACCGGGACAGAAAAAGGCAGCACGCGCGGAACCGTACAATAACGATTCCGTGGGCAACCGTTCGACGAACAAAATTGGTTCGTTTCGTTTCTTTTTCTTTTTGTACGGTTCGGCGTGTTGGGTTTGGACAACGAGAGGAAGAGTCTTCTTATAGGAATGGGGGAGGATTGCGTATGTAGTACTTCGCTGATTTCTTTGCTGTTAATTAATGTGAACAATATTTAACGGTGAAAATATGAAATAAACTAGGAGTGAGAAGTATAAAAAAAAGTATTTGCTGATTTTCAGATGTACACTACCGGCCAAAAGTTTGGAATCACCTCCCACTTTTCATCGATATTAAATCTGCTGCTAATTTTTTATAGATTTCAAGTTTATCTCAATTCTACTTTTATCAATTAATCTCGTATCAATTGATTCGAATGATAAAAAAATTCTCAAAGTCGCTGACTTTTTTCTGGAAATTTTTGTGTAAATTGTAATGCTCGGTGATTCGAAACTTCTGGCCGGTAGTGTATCTATTAAATTTAGACAATGAAAAGAAAAGTCTTCTTTTAGAAATAGGGGAGGATTGCAGATGTAGTACTTCGTCGATATCTTTGTCGTTGATTACTGTAAAAAGTATTTAGTGGTGGAAATATGAAATATAAACAAGTCTGTTAAATTTGGACAATGAGAAAATGATTCTTCTTTTAGAAATAGGGGAGGATTGCAGATATAGTATTACTGGTCGATTACTGTAAATAATATTTAGTGGTGAAAATATGAAATAAATTGGCAATGAGAAATATAAAGAAAAGATTTCCAGATTTTGTACTATTTTTGTGAGATAGAAATATTAGAAAAATATCAGGTACACTTGAGTGTAACTCCTGACCAATTTACTTTAGCTGATTGTAATGCAAAAATGCATTTTTCTGAGAGTGGGATTATTTTAGAATATTCTACATTCATTTTATGTATATGTCACATTTATTATAAAGGTTAATATTTAAAAGTGATATTTATAAATAAATTGATCACGTTTTTTAAATGGTACACGTTCCACTAAAGAAGGTACTATGATTT